TGATGAATAGGCTTTTTCAAATTTAGGCCTGTAACTTTTTTTCTGGAGCATCACAAATTCTAAAAATTGCGTCACAAATTTTCACTAATTAATCACTAAAATTGTGTGAAGTTTGAGCCCAATCGGGTACTTTGACCCCCTGGGTAGTGTGCGCCGACTTTTTGATTATTTTTTTTAGATTTTTGTAGATAAGTATGAAGTAAACAATTGAACTGTAATCAGACGCTCACTCTTCATATTTTTTTGTGATTATTAGAATCACACAATTAATAAGAGGAATAAGCCTTTTATCTTGCACAGTCACTTACCATTTTTATATATGATGTTTGAACAAAAGGGCCTTTTTTGATTGGATTAAACAAATAACTCTTATTTATTTCGAAATAATTATCTTTGTTATAAAAACAATAATCGATTTTCGGATGTTTTGGGAATATGCTGAATCTTCTTCATGAATTTAAAATGTCGGTGCAACTAATGCAGCTATACAAGCGGCCTCGCAAGTGGCGAAAGCTGCATTACAGGCAGCCAGTGCTGGGGTTGCAGCGATAATGGAAACTGAAAAGAAACCGATTTATATATTAAAATAAATATGTATGTATATGAAAAATTCGTATCTTTGGACTTTTTAAACTTACGTGGAACCGTGCCGAAAGTGAAACCAGCCGCGGCGAAACAGGCGCAAACAACTGCTGCACATCCTAATAGAATTGTAAAATCACTCGATAAATTTTGAAACCACAACAAAATGCTATAATAATACCTCCGTAACATATTCCGGCAGCCATGGACCTGATGATGTCATAGAAATCAAACTAAACACCATTACGATTGTAAACAAAACTTTGAAATTCATTTTTATTTTTCAATTTGAGAATAAAGAACGAACGATTCGCACTAATAATTCCAACTTGTTTGGTTAAAGGCAAAAATTGAAGTAACGCAAATGAATTCGCAAACGCTGTCCTAATGTGTTATATTGTAATGTGAATGAATGAAAGCAACGCAGATTTGTTTTATATTAAACATTTATTATGTATGTGTTTATTGGAGTGGTTCGATTTGCGCCACCTGTATACGATTTTTCATATAATAATATTACCTTGCAAAAGTATGAACTGTCATAACGTGGTTATGGTTCACAAATATTCCAGATGTTTGTATACAGTTTATATATAGAAATAAATCAATTTGTCGGTATTACATAAAATATGGACATTCACACAGAAAGAAAAAATGTGGTATTTTTAATTCAATTTTGGTATATTTAATATAAAATCAACCAACAAGGAATTAAATTTACCATTTTTGACATCTCTGGAGCATATTTTTCAAAAGTGACTATTTGTTGAATAAGTCGAATCTAGTCTTGAGGTATAAAGGAAGAGACTTATCAATAAGAAATGAAACACAGATGTTGTTTGGTGTTCAGTCTAACCAATAATGAATAACGTTCATTGGGTGTGTTTGTATTTATACTAACTGGCTAGGGGACGGACACAAAATCTAGTAAAATCTAGTTTCATAGTTTTCTGCTAATTTTGCTAATATTTTCCAAATTTAAAAAAAAATCTACTATTATAACTATACAGACATACTATTGCTAATATTAGTTTACTAGTATAAACGTCAAACGTCAAATAGCTGATCTCAAAGTGAAATCATGTATGAATTTTTCATAAGTTCTTAGATGAAGATTTAACTTTTTTTCTCAACACATGGTTTCTCTTTATATCTTTTGGTGAATTGCGCACAAGATGAACCATATTTTCTGGCATCAATGGTCTTTTCTCCACCATATTTTTTACTCCTTCATACGATCCATTAAGTTGGATTTATTTTCTGCATTATTTCCCGGTATCCATTCCACGATATTTTTTACTTTTTCATACGATTCGTTAAGACTTTCGTCACACTCATCATCAATTAAGTTAGATTTTTGAACTTCCAAACGATCTTTGACTTTTTCATATGATGCGTTGAGCTACTCGTCACAATCATCGTCAAATTCGTCACTACTTTCACGATTTTTCACTTGACTTTGGAACAACGTGTCAATTGTTGCGATATCCAATTTTCTTGGTTTAAACATTTTTCACTAAAATTCGTCTGTTTGTTGTGATAGTAAACAGTGTACTGTGGTAAATTACTCAATACTGCATATATATAGATAACGAAAACATATATACAAATATTTACAACACAATATTATTTACATTGAGGATGTTTTAGCACAGCCTTTGGTCTGTACCAAAACTACCAACCACCTCTCTCCCTTCGCAAACAACTTGTACAAGAAAGTGGACAAAGAGTCATTGTTAGACTCTTCATACCGTACGATTTTTTGTCGCGGGAAAACTATTATCCTTATAGTATCCTTACCCTCTCCTTATGTGTTGAAGCGAAAGATTGACATGAACAGTGTTGTCGTTCCCGAAAAAAAAAATCCCTGTGATTATCCTTCATAGCTTCTTCTAATTAAATTCTAATCCATGTAATTAATGAATGATCCCTTTTTGATTCCTCCCTGTGATTTTCCTTCATAGTGTTAAAGGATAAAATTAAAAACGACTCTCGGCCTAGTTCTATGAAGGATCAATACACAAGGAAACATAACACCTAAATTGCATGATATTAGATGGAAAATAGAAGTGAAATTTAGTTTCTTTGAACCTTCATAGGTCAACTTAAGACATAAATTGCGTGAAATTGTTTAACATAACATTAGTCTTGTTTTGAATTTGGTCGGGATTGTTTTGCTTTGACTTAAAAATGTCACGAAGACAACATTTCACCGATAATATTGTGAAATCATTTAAATGAGAAATATCAAATAGTGAAGAT